GTTGACACTTTAGGATCAGGTGTTAAATTTCAAAAGCAAGTATTCTCGTAAGATTCTCTTTCCCTTCTGCTTGGGAGACACGGTTTAACTGAGAATGTTCAGCCTGCCTCCCTGGAGATAAACAAGTTTTCCTCCCCACCTAAAACCACCTTTCTCCCTCAGGAAATCCAACCTCTTAAAACAGTTGTGTAACTTTAGCAGTCTAGACTGTGTTTCAGTTTCCTCATCTTTAAAATGGCAGAATAAAATTGAGTTAATTTTTGTTGAAGTGTGGGACATTGACCAATGGACATGAGATGATTGTAAGCAGCTAATTGACCTGGCTTTAGAGGGATCAACTCATGCCAGGAGGAATACTTATTCCTTTCCAGTACCCTTCCATTTCTTCTCCTTCTAATAAGAGGAAAGTCTGCATGATGCTAACACTACCTTTAACACCTCTCCAGCACTTGGTAACTGACCTCCTTTTATAACAAAGACAAACATCAAGGCTTTGTTTTCATGGTAGTTTATTTCAATGGCTGCCATCTGTTTATGACCTAGGATTCTCTAATGATAAAAAAGTTTGCTTTAAAAATATACTTATTTAGGTTAAAAATAAGGGGGAGTCATTATGAAGGTCAAGAATAGGCAAACTTAATCTGCGATGCTAGGGTCAGAATAATGGCTACCTTTAGGATGTACTCACAAAGAGGTACAAGGGAGCCTTCTAAAGTGCTAGGAATATGAACTCTATATCTTGATCTGGGCAATGGTTGCAAAGGTGTAAAAAATCAGTCTTAAAATTGAACTTAAACAGTCTCAATTAAAAAGATAGAAATAAGAGTCCAATTAAAAATAAATGTTAAATAGTAATTCATGTGGACTATCCATATGGCAAAATGCATGCCAGAGGAGTATGTGTGGTTGAAGTTTGGACATGATGGACTGGACAACCCCACAGTTTCCTTCTGGTTCATAGATGCCGAGACTCTAAGTGCTTTGGAGATCCTAGGTCTCAAGATTGCCCCACACACTAACAGCAGACCCTCTCAGAGTTAGGGGCATTCCCTGGGCAGTTGGCATTTAATGTGGGGAAGCAGCAGGGCTGTAGATCCCATCTTCCCCAGAAGAGACCTTCCACCCCACCCCGGATTCTTCCTGCTACTCCTGGTCCTGGGTGCAGCTCAATCCCAGCTTCCTTTTCTCTGTGCATTGGCCTGAGCCTCAGCTGCATCCATCATCTGCTTCAAGCTCATTAAAATTATTTCTTTTTAGTTGCAAATGGGCTGTTTATGATGATCATTATTTGAATGGTCTGCGCCGGGCTCCGGGCTGTCTGTCTGCTGCTGATGGCAGGTTAATCAGATGAGTCTCCTCCCGGCCTGGGCCTGGTCCAAAGTCTGGGGCTGTGTTAATCATGGCTCCCCTAGGGCTGGGGGCTGAGGGCCAGGGTGGGAGAGGAACTGAGTTCTGCTTGATCATCAAAGGAGAGGCCCTGCTAGCTATGCATGTGTGTAGTGGCTCAGACACTCATTTCTAAAACTCAGCTTCAGACCAGTGCTGGTTTATGTGTGTGAGAGTTTTTTTCGTTGCTTCAAAATAGATATAGTTCTGGGAGCTTTTTTAAGTGTTTTTAATTAATTAATTAATTAATTTATTTATTTATTTATTTATTTATTTATTTATTTATTTATTTAAAGTAGGCTCCACGCCTAGTATGGAACCCAACACTAAACCTGAACTCTTAAATCTGAGATCAAGACCTGAGCTGAGATCAAAAGTCGGATGCCCAATTGACTAAGCCACCCAGGCATCTCACATGTATTTTAAAGACTTGTTGATTCTATTGTCGCCTTTTTTGCTTTGTTAATGTTCAAATACCCTATCTTTTAGGGTGAAAGGGAGTGGTTTTTAATGTTTCTCTTTGATGCAGTAAAACTTGGCCATACTGTGTTGCTCTCCCTACTCTCCTTTTTTGGTGATATTTTTATTGACCTGTAAAATCCAGAACTCTTAGAATCACTGATTTAGTTAGATGTTTTCTGAGCACTTAGTTTATCTAAATAGCAGAATAATATCAGCCAACATTTATTGATCACTTGGTACTATGCTTGATGGTTTATATAATTATAGCATTTAAAACAAGCTCCCTAAATATTCCCTAGCTAGTAGGAAAGTGGAGCAGAAGTCCTATGAAGTGCTAGGCATTACAATTTTGCCTTTATTATCCACTAAGAGGTTAATCCATGCCTGAATTATTAAAACTGACTGTAATTTATTTCTCAGTCCCTTCTTGCATCACCTAACAGACACATTTAAGTGCTTATTTCATAAGATGATGTATGTAAGGAGCTTAGCATGGTGCCTGATACATGTAAGCACCCAATGAATGGTAATTATGATTATTATGTAGTATTATTGTTATTGATGATGTTGTTATTAGTGAGTTTACCATAGAAATGTGGCAGGAATCAGGGTTGAAGGATGAGCATTAGAAGTAGGCAAAGTTGAGAAGAACATGGACACTGTTTGGTCTTCTAGGGCTCAACAGGAAAGAAAGACACCATGAGCTGGGCTTATGTTAGGCCTGGGGCTGGGAGTCTGTCAATATTCCCTGGCCTGGTGTCACCTCTGTTGTGTTGGCAACATGAATGCAGTAGACAGATTTATACCCACCAGCACTTGTGAGGTTCTTGTGAAGGGACCCAGTGCAGGCACACAGCATAATTGTCTGGTATGCACATCAAGTCGTTGGACTTGCCCTACTGTGAAATTTCCCCTCAGAGCCTGGGTTTGATGTTTTAACTGAGGAGTCCAGGTCCAGATCCAGCACCAGCCAAAGATATTGGTTGCTGTGGTATGGAGAGGGGCAGTGTCCCAGAAATTAGAACATAATGTCAGATACATGATAATCCAAAACCAAGTGATGTCAACCCAAGTCCCAGTTCTGCTTATTCTGCAGCAATGTAAAAATCACATCTTTATCTTCAAGACTGATGAGAAAAACTTAGGAAAACTGTGAGCATTCTATCACAACTCACATTGTCCATGACACTCCAGTTCTTCTCTCCTGCCAAGTGAGGTTCTGTCCAACTGGCTGCACCACCTGGTCTGGTGTTATCTACCTTTGATCAGTCCTTTTGCTGCAGACCTCTTCCTAGCCACTCAATATTTTGGTTGAGGTTGATTGTAGCATCTTTGCTGGAAACTATGATTATTTTTATATGATGATAAATCAGAAGTCTCCCTTTTTTCTTCTGTCACTTTGATGGACTGTCAGAAACTATTTCTGTTTCTGTCTCTCCTCTCTAATGATACCTTCTTCTTCATCTGGCTTAAAATTCCATGGAGCATTTGTACAGGAAGACCCTGCACCTTCGAGTTAGTGTACCTAGTGCTGTGGCATAGAAGTGACTTCAGCACCTTGGAGAGCACCACATTTCTGATTCCCTTGCCCCTCTATTTTAATCACTGCTTTTTTTCCTTGACCTTCTCTCCTAGTCCCATGGCTCTCCAAAGAGGTTAGACATTTCTCCAGAAATAGAAAATCCCTTGCCAATTTCTCCCTAAGGCACCATAGGCAGAAACACTTATGCTGGGCTTAGGGTAGGCTCTCCAGCCTCTGATGGGTATGAGGTTTATGGTGCTATGGTGAACTGCTATAGAGCAGATTTACCGACTCAGACATGATATAAGACAATTACCATGCATTTCGTCTCTTACAGGGAAAAGGATTTGCAGCGGGTTAATAGTACTTTTATTTCATTATCTAATGGTAAAAGTGTTTCATTGTGTGTGCAAGATGAATGCGTATTAGCGATGACAAATGGGGTCTTTCAACACGGTGCCGGGCCTCATCATACATATGTTAGATTAAAGAGTTCACCCTAGAAATACACTCTTGCATCTGCGTGTGTGTTTTTAATAAATCTGATTGCAGAAATTTATTGCATCACCGGATTTAGGAAATTATGGGGCTTGATTGCTGCAAATATAATCGGGTGATATATACAGAAATGCTTCTCGAGTTATGGTCCAGAAAAAAAGCCCATCTCAGGATGGTGCAAGAAAGCAGCAGACCACATAAACAGAGCATTTCTTGAATTATGCAAATGAAACCCATGACAACTCATGGTGAATTGTACTCCCCCTGTGAGACTACTACCATTAAAGCAAAGAAAGCTGAGAGAGGGGTGATCAAATATACATGTACAACCAGCAGACACTGTCTGTGATGTATATGCCTCCCCCAGTACCTCACTCTCTTTCTTCCCCTCAACGGTGTGTCCTGTAAAAACCTGGTCTGGGCCTTCATTACACATAAGCAGGCAAAGCACCTTCCAATCCATTTCTTCTGAATCCAGGAGCCTTTGGTGAAATATTTCTTATACTTGAAGTGAACCCTAAATGATTTACTGCAGGATACACAAAAGGTCAGCTTGCTTCTTATTGGCACCTTCATTTTTCCAAAATCTACTGAAATTAAAAAGCCATCTATATCTTAAAAGGCGTATTTATGAACCCTTAAGTGTAAGTAAGTCATAGTTGGAACAGTTCCCACCTCTGATATATGAAAGCTGTCGACAGCACTTTCTTACACTATAATATGCCCATACAATATGCCGCACTTTACTATTTTGACACGGTTTGGAGATGTTTTCTACAGTTACTGACAAGCTTATGCCATCACTCCTTTGGAAATTTAAGAGGTGGGGCAGAGGGTTGGGGGAGAGATTGAAAAAACAACTCCACCCAACTTTATGGGAAATTATTGATCTTCTGAGGAGCAAAAAAAGCTGTCCTGGATTTTTTTCAGTTGCATCCCCAGTTTTGTAAATTATTCATTTGTGCCAGGAGTCAATATCCTGTCTTTTCTCAGCTTTGTAAGTTAAGAAAACTTGTTCTGAATGCTGTTTTGTATGATGATTAAAAAGGAAGAGGAAGGGGAAAAAATCTTTTTCTTTTCTCTCTCTCTCTCTTTTTCTTTCTTTTTTTCTTTTTTTTTTTTATTGTTTCAGAAGGAGCTTAATTCCGTCGCTTCCGAGCTGTCTGCACGGCAGGAGGAGAGTGAACATTCTCATAAACATTTAATTGAACTCCGCCGGGAATTTAAGAAAAATGTACCTGAGGTACAGTATATTTGCTGTTATAGAATTAACTCAGTAGGAATGCAGATTTTTCTCTGTTCAGACTATATTTTGGAAGTAGACATTAAGTGACTAACAAGAAAAGAAGCTAATTAGCCACAAAGAGAAATTACAGCCCCCAACCTTTGGGTGTTTCTTGGTATAGTGGTACTCAGTGGTGCTATCTAAAGTGAGGACAGGACGCTTCTCCATTGAAGTCATTGTTTCTGAGCGCTCCCTAAAACATCCATTTTGCCCCATATCATGTCTAGTCAAATGCTGGGCCTTGACAGCAAAGACAGTTTATCTAGATTTCTTGGTTTTATTTTGCTTTTCTATTGGTGCCTGGGAGAGGACATCTATAGGCTCCCCCCACCTTCTCTGGGCTTTCGCTCAGTCTCCTCTGAAACTGCCTCCCACTGCCATAAACAGATCACATTCTTTCCCTTCACCTCTTGCCTTGCAACTCCAGCTGCCAGGTCTGTCTTTCCCAGCTGGCCCTGAGGATGGTCCAGATAATGACTAGTCCCACCCCCTAAACCACCCCCACCCCCTGCAATGTAAGGGCCCCCAGGGGAACCGACTAGAATGGACATGTTTTTGTTCTTTACAGGGACGAATGTATTAATTCCTTTACTTTTTCTATCAGGCCCCCTGTTGCTGCTCAGATTAAAAAAAAAAAAGATGGATAAACACAAATAAGAAAAATAAAGCCTTCTGATTCCATATGATGTTATCAAGGATGTGACACATCAGAGCCACTATGGGAAATGGAGTCCCTGACTATCCCCAAAGCCAACTATGCTTCTCTGGTCAGCAGAGGTTAATAGCTGACCTCTCTGTCCTAATCTACTCAAGTGGCCTGGATCTTAGAGGAGGGTGAGGTAGTGTCTGGCATTCTGGCAGTATCAGACCTGGAGATGTTAATTCCACTCTACCTGTTAGAATCACCCAGGGGTCCTGTTGCCATCTTTCTGATGGAGGAGGGGACCACAGAAAGGTTGAGAAGAGTCAGGCCCACCCAGGAATCAGGCTACATGAGCATATAAGTACGGGTCAGGTCTTCTAGCTATGAAATCCTCCACAAGTCATAAATATCTTCGGTTCTTTAAAGCAAAAGAGGGAAGTGGACTATAGCTAGCACTTGCCCATGGAGCAATATGGAAGGGATCTTAAGTTTGAGAGCTGAGGGAGGGTGCCCTTGGAGAAGAAGTGAGAATCCCAGATACAAGTGTCTCCCACATCGCAGCTTCAGAAAGGCCAAGTCAAATCCGGGGCTTGAGTCCCAGCACTAAGAAGGCATAGGTGATGCTGAGCATCCTTTGCTTCCTTCTTATAACAGAGAATGGTTTGGTATTTAAACTGATTCTCTGCCCAGAGAGAGGGTACCAAAAGCTTTGCCTCTGACTCTCCATTCTGTGGGAAGCAAAGATGAAGCAGCCCTACATCTTCCCAGCTCTACATGCCCTCTTTGGTCATCACAGACCCTCCATCTCATCCTTCTCCCCAGGTCACATGGGAGCCCTCAGGTGATGAGGGAAATCCAGGCCAGGTTTTCAGCCTCTGAGTTCGGCTTACATAATTTTAATACTGCATAATTATGCAATTATGTAATTAGGAGGAATAAGTTTCCATTCCTATTATAGTCGCGCCTCTGAAAATTCTCATTTTTGGAACTAGTCTCTCCTGATTGGGAGAGTCATGCCAAGGTTTTATTTAAGAACATCATCTGGCTGGTGCCCAAATCACCTCCCGCTGGTGCCTATGCTCAGCTTCTCCCCCAGGGATAAAGCACACAGGACAAGGGGCTTCTAGAAATGGTCAGTATTGGCCCAAAGCCCTGCCACCCACCTCTCAACCTTGACCCTCAGATTTGAATACTCTTGAGTATGGGATTGTGCATACAACTTACGTGGGTTGTCTGTTGACCTGCATTCAAATTCCAGCTGAGCCACTCATTCACTGCCTGACTTGAGCAAGCCAGCCCTTCTCAGGACCTTGGAAAATCAGGGGACTAAGGAGATGGTTTCTGAGGCCCCTTCTTGGCACTAACATTTCCTGAACCTGGACCAGAAGTTTAACCTACTCATATGTTTTATTTGGTCTGCAAAGTCTTTCAAGTTTTACAGTAAGTTACCAACATTTAGCATTTCAGAAGATTTTACCCAAAACCCCAGATTTCCAATATCTTTTGCGACTCTTTAGTAGATCTGGTCACACAGAGGTTCCATGCCCACATGGCAGTCACCAACTGGAGCTGAGCAGCTGCTACATCCATTACATGGTGCTTGGGTTCTCCCAATATTGCCATGGGACCTCCCTGCCTGCCTTCATCATGTCCACAACCCGCCCCCAACCCTGGCCTCTGTGGGCGTTTGAGTTCACAAGCTGGTACCTAGGTTTTCACAAATTTCCTTTTCCATGGCTCAGCCCATGTACCCATAGTTCCTTGTGATCAAATCCACTAGATTCACATGCATTCCCTATGTCTCTCCAAGGAGTCCTGGGGGACACAAATCAGGAGGGATACCCAGGACCCGGAAGAGGGATCATTTTCAGGGACAGAAGAACAACCTTATCTCATAATTAAGGGATTTTTTTCTTTACCTGAACATATGTATTCTTGTGCCCATGTCTTCCTTTCCAGCTTCTCTCTACTGTCCCTTCTCTCCCCACACACTTGAGCCCCCCTCAACTCCTCCTTCTACAGGGGTTTCTCATGGGCCCTGACAAACAGCACTTACGGGGTCACCAAGGGGTCTCAGAGGAAACTGAAGCATTTAGGGTGGAATCTTGGTGACACTAGGTTCTAAAAGACCTCTGTCTTGTGTGCTGGGGAGAACTCATAGGAGCCAACCAGGGGAGCCCTTGTGAAAGGCAGGAAACTAGGGTCCAGAAATAGGAGGTTCCCTTCTGAAGATAGCCCACTGCCATAGAATTCATCAAATATTTCAGAACCCCTCCTCTGAGCTGGGCACCACTCATGGCACCTTCTGGAGAGGAAGGAGAGACAAGTATGGAAGTGATGTTACTAAAATGAAAAATGGAGTGTTTGCCAAAGAGGGGCAGTTGGATGGGAAAGCAGACAGAGGTGGCCACCTGAAGGAGTCATCCCTGAGCAAATGGTTGAAGGACAGAAGGTTTTCATGAAGGGACTTTGGTGACTGGTGCTGTGTGGAGAGTCAAGGCACCTCTTCAGCAAGGGTCACATGATGCACCACCAGTTGCTTGAGTACTTTGCCTAAAAGAGTATTCCGTGATCAGATCTATTTGGGAAACACTCCTTCTTTCCTCCCTCTTCCAGAAATCCCCAAAGTGCATTATAGTAAAGGCTCCAAAAAGTCCTGCAGGGAAGACACTTGATGTTGGACTTTATTTCCCAGGCTGATTAGGCTGGCATCCTGTGTGTGTGTGTGTGTGTGTGTGTGTGTGTGTGTGTGTGTGTCTATGTGTAGGTGTATATAGGAGAAACCCTAGTGAAATCCCATGGAGCACCCGTCCCATGGGGCACATTTGAGAAAAACTAGCTGGGGGGACAATAGGTGCATCCCACCTGGCACTGGGTGAACTCTTCGCTGATCTCTTTTTCAGGAAATCAGAGAGATGGTGGCTCCTGTATTAAAAAGCTTCCAAGCTGAGGTAAGACCCAAGGCCCTGGCATGTCACAAAAACATTCCCTGGTTCTCTCTCCTATCCCACCTGGAGTTGCCAGAGGGGGTTAGCAGCCTCTAGAAGCTTGGGAGAAACCTGCCTATCCCCATTGCAAACCCTACCCTATTTTTTCCAAATCAGCCAATAGTGATGTGATGAGGATGGGTTCTCTGTTCTGTTTGATGGGATTCCAGTGTCTGATCCCAAAAAAATCTCCCTCTCCCTAGACTCTGTCCAGTCCATACACCAGCTTTGCTATATACGTATCTGTGACTTTGAACAAACCACATTACCTACAGGCTTGGTTTCCCATTTTTAAAAATTAAGAGGTTTGAACTTGGTGACCTTTGCTCTCCCAGGCCTTCTGCTCTGCTTTGATTCTCTAAGGCAATCTTGCAGATAAGGCCACTTACCAGCCCATCCTAATATTTACTGACCCACCATCTGAGTATAAAATTGACACTGTTCATGTTCTTTCCTGAAAACCCATCAGGCCCTGTGTCCTTGGGCAGCAGCTGAGCTGTCTCCAGCCAGTTGTTTCTCTTGCCTTCCTGGAGCCCTGTCATGGGGCTGAACCTCTCCCATTTCTCCTCTTGGCTTGACTTTGTGACCAGGATTCTGATAATGTCCACTGGTCCTGCTGGCAAGGGAGGCAGGCTAGGAAGAGAATGGAGGTCCGCTGAGGCAGGGTGGTGGAAGGGGAAGACTTTTGTCAAATGTTCCATCTTCTGGGGGTGGGGAGGCTCTTCTCTGTCTCCCCTGGATTCAGGCAGGACCTTGGAGGGATTGGCCCTTCTCCGAGCACTCTGGTGGAGATGCATTTTACGTCTGAGCAAGTCTAAATCTGAGCAAGTCTCCAGGTTATTCTAATGCAGAAGGGCCCCAGACCAAGCGCCACATTACTTTAAATCTGTCTCTTTGGAACTGCGTAAGCGCATGAGGCAATATTAACATAAGCAATAACTGGATTTACACAAATGTCACTGATTTCCATATTTTTCATCCCTTCATTTTATTCCTGAGTTGACTGATGTGCTTATTTATTTATAGGGCCATCCGGTATTGATTCATTTGGTTGTGAGGTGCCTGAACTGAAAGGGGTAGTGGAGGGGTGGGTGGCCAGGAAACAAACCAGAAAGACCAATAATGTTGGGAATTTGTTGTCATGGCTTTGTGGTTTTAAAAAAGAGGCTCCCATCTGCACAATGGTCCCATGAGGGGTTCTCAGTATACAAGCCCTCTCAGGCAGCTGATCCCTCTGCCCAGCCCAAAGACAGACGCCGAGCGTCACTTTCTCAGCTGTTTCCTTGCTTGGACAATATGGACTGGGCTTGTCTTAGCAACTTAGAGCCTCAGTTTCCCTATCTGTTTAAGGGAATAAAGACACTTTATTGTTGTTTTAAGGACTTTTTGTGTTGTTTTAAGGACTGAGAAATAATGCAAGGAAGGAGTTTAACCTAGTGCCTGGCACACAGAGAGGTTCCAAGTGTTAAAGAACAGACTCTGGAGCCAACCTGGGTTTGAATCCTGCCTCTGCCAGTTCCTCACTGTTTGATCTTAGGCAAGTTCCTTAACCTCTCTATGCCTTTACCTCCTTATTTATAAAACTGAGTAATAAGTAAACCTTCATAGAATCGTGACTAAGGAAGAACAAAGTCATACCCATAGAGTGCTTAGAATGTTGCCTTATAAGTCCTAGTTATTTTATTATTCCTGTTATCAGTCTCCTCCAGTACAGGTTTATTTGGCCTCTACTATGCTTGGGCTGGAATCTGCCTCTTTCCTAAGTAGATGTTCAAGGCTTTTCTCCAAAAGAAGGGGGCTTTCTATCCCTGAAGGGAACAGGTGTGACTTACATCATTTTTTCAATAGGAGAAAGAGTTCAACATTACATTTGAGTGATGATCCAGAGAATATCCCAGTGCAGTGTGCAGAAAGCACGTGCACATCAGACTAAGACATGGCCTGAGTCTCAGCCCTGCTGCCTGCCTAGCTGGGTGGCTGGGGAGAGGTTCCTTAACCTCTCTAAGCTGCATGCAGCTTTCCTTCTCTGGCAAATGAAGTTAACAGTAAGGATTCAAAGAAAGAACTAAGGGTGGAGGCAGTTGACACAGTGTCTGGCACACAGGGGGTACTCAGTAACTCACCAAGGGAAAGAAAGTTTTAGTGGGTCGGAAAGGGAAGACAAAGCTAAATTTTCATTTCCAAATCCATGTGGCATGTTGAATTCACAGTGTTTTAATAGCTGAGGATCTCCAAAGAACTTCGTCAATTTTCTTAAGGGGGCTTTCCATCATCCCTTTAATGTACCAAAAACACTACATTTGTCTGGAGTTTTATTCCTGAAACCCCTGCTTTCTTCATGATCTATTGACTAATCCATCGAGGCCGCCATGTCCCTCCCTGTGCCTCCGGGGAGAAATGCTACCCAAAGAAAGGTGTTAATAAAAAGCATCTTCTTCATCCAGAACAAACTGCTCACGCACAAGTCGTTTATAATCCAAATTTGATTTTCATTTTAATTTTTTTAATGAGGGTTCATCCTTTATGCCACTTCCCTCTCGCAATCCACCAGGCTCGGGCTCAGAGCTGAAGATTCCCAAGTGGGCATTAATCACCTCCCAGGAATATTCCCTGAGGCAAACACCGTCTTAAGTCACATAAAGTAGCCCATAAAACGCCAGGGCTGAATATCGTACCCGTCATTCCTTCTTCCCCAGTGTGGGCCTCTTGTTGAAATATAACACGTTCAAGTTCATTCCTTAATTTCACTCCACCAGCTCTGGTATATAAAGAATCTGGGCATCCTTTTTATCTTCTCATTCTATATATGGGTGGGCCTTTTTTTTGTTTCTCTTCTTCGTGTGTGTGTGTGTGTGTGTGTGTGTGTGTGCGCACGCACGGGTACATGCACGCGCTCGAGTCTGTCCTGGTGGGAGGGGTGTGGAGAGGAAGTGAATTTGCCCTGCTGTGAATCAAGGAAGGTTTTTCTCTCCGCCTTGATTGCTTAAAGGACAGTCTTGATTCCCCCTGCTCAGGGAAACAAAGACAACCAGAGAAGGTGGCTTAATGGAGACAGCTTGAAATGGCCAAAGTTTGAATATCCTTGCGCGCAGAGAAAAGAGCAAGACGAAAGCCCCGCTAATTACAAAAGTTGCTTTATGAAAGATAATTCAAAGCAATAATTTAGCAAACATAATCAAGTCGCACAGATGGGGTTGTTGATGGATGGATTGCAACATGCAATTAGCAGCTCTCGCAGTTACATATCATTAACCCTCCGAGCACAAAAATTATTTTCTCATTATTAGTTGAAAAGGTAAAATTAAGCTGACTAGACAGTAAAGGAACAAACTACAATTAATTACCTTCATTTATTACAGTCATTATTTTAAACTTATTTTTACTTGGAGAGAGAGATGAAAACATCTAAATTAAAAGTTTTATGATGCTAAACCAGAGGTGAAACTTTTCTAAGGAGTGTGTGTACTGGCCCAGTCACGAAGACAAGACAGCAGGGCCATGGCAAGAATATTTTTTTTCTCTCTGCTTCCTTCTTCCACCAGGAAGAGGATGTGGCCTGCATGATGGAAAACCCTTTGGCTGAGTCAGAACGCACTGCAGTTTGGAAACCAAAGGGGCTGATGCCTCCTCTGACCACCCAGGGTCTGACACCCAGGGTCTGAGTCCCACCCAAACACTGACAGGCTTATGTGACTTTGGCAGGTGACTTCATGTCTCTGAGCCACTGTTTCGTCATAGCATGAGGTTCAGTGAGATCATCTATCAAGTGGCTGGCCAGTCATTTGTTTTCATCATGGTAGCTGTCTTTGGTGGCATGGAGCCAAGATGGTCTTTCTCTGTCCTCTCAGTGTCCTCTCAGGGTTCAAGGGAGTTTGTGCGGCATGACTACCTTATAGGAGCTTAGAGAGGAGACCAAGGTGCCCCTTATGAGAGACATACTCATCATCTGTTGAATCCCTGCAATCACTTATTCAATCAACAAACTTTTACAGAAGCCCTACCGCATACCAGGTGGTGTTCTAGATGCTGGACATAGTGAAGGTCACAACCTGGTAGTCTACTAGATGCCTCTTGATGTGGGGGAGGTCAAGTATTTGTGCCAGCCCCAGAAAGGCCTCCTTTCTACTTGGTGCCTTGCAGGGCCACTTAACAAATACTTGTGGAGCATCTGCTATGTGCCAGGCTCCAGGTAAAAGCTATGGAAGGTCCAAAGATGGTGACACCATCCGTGCCCTTAAGGAATGTAACTAGGAGTCCAGTCCCTGTGATTGAAATAATGTCCACTCATGTCAAGAGCTCATAGGAGGCCTCTTGGTTGCTCCCAGAGCTTTTGCTGCTTTGCTGAGTGTCACATTCACACCCATCCCCACTGCGGCCACACAATACCTCTCATCCCCTGCATAACTGCATTGTGTCTGGCATTCCCCCATCAAGAAATGGAGCTTGTGTCTCTATTCTTTGAATCTGGGCCAGTGTCCACTCCAACCAGTAGAATGTGGTAGAAGTGACCCTCTGCCAGTACCAGATGAAGGCCTTCAACAGACTGGCGGTTCTGTCTCCTGCCTCTTCCAGCGCAACCTTCATGTAAGAAGTGTGAGTACCCTGAGACCACCCTGCTGTGAGAAGCCCAACCTGTATGGATGGGTCCTGGAGGATGAGACTCCATATGGAGGAGAGGGGCTGGGAGCACCAAGACACCAGGCACAAGTCAAGGAGCCATACTGGCCATCCAGCCCAGTCAAGCCATCAGGTGACTGCAGTCATAGCTGCCACCTGGCTGTGACTGCCTAAGAAATGACAAGAGAACTGCCCGGCTGAGCCCCGTCAACCCACAGAAGCATGAGAGATAATAGGAAGTAATTGCTTTGGGCCACTCCATTTTGGGGCAACTGATTACACAGCAATAGATCACCAGAATAGCCAGGATTTGCAGGATTTGCCAGTTCTTTCCCCTCTCTTTCCCC